GGCAGCCCAGCTCCAGGTCGAGCTGTTGTTCACCATCTTAGCTGTAGAGGGTGCAGTGACACTGACCCTAATGTGGGATCCGAACCAGGGCCCTGCTGCTCAGATTTGGCATCCCAAGCCAAATCCTAACCAACAAGCTACTCAGCCGGCCCCAACTTGATTCTTTATGCTGCTTCTCAGGCTCTATTATGACAGAGTAGAGGATGGTAAAAGAATCTGCCATGATGGAGTAAATGACGGCATTTCTCTACGTACTAGCATTTCTAGCATGTATCAATTGTGTTGTAGTTATTTGTGTATGTCTTTATAAGCCCTAAACCTTGTAGGGGCCAAGTGCCATTTATCATTTCTTTAATCCCTGTGGGAAAACCTGACACATAATAGGCACTTACTGAAAATTTCCTGAATGAATGGAGTACAGAACTGAGACAAGTCATAGAGTGACCCTTTAGAGCTGCCAAGATTATACATAAACTTTTGTTCCATCAAACCCAAATAAATAGCAGGGGTGTGTGGTGGGGAGGGGGGATGTAATATTTAAACTTTTAAAACTCCCATGTGTCTTTTTAGATCGTCATCCTCTCGAGTGTTTTTAACCTGGTGGCATGTGAACCACCCTTTCTGAGCACCGTGTTTTCCCTCTGTCTTTTCTGCAGGTTGGACTCCGATCTGTGATCGAGCAGTTTCCTGGAAAGCTTGACTTTGTCCTTGTGGATGGGGGTTTTGTCCTGAGCCACGGCCACAAGCAGCTGGTGTGCTTGGCCAGATCTGTTCTCAGCAAGGCCAGGATCTTGTTGCTTGATGAGCCCAGTGCTCATTTGGATCCAATGTGAGTTCCAGGGCCCCTGCTCTTCGACCACACAGGGGAGGAACACCACTGAGGCCTGCTCCCCACCAACACACATTCCCATTAGGCCATTGTGTCTGCAAGTGGAGGAATCCCCTTCGGATATGAACTAACTGCCCATTGGAAAAGTCACCATCTGACATGAGCACAAGAGCTTATTTCCTAGTATAAGAGCCCTGGGTTCTCTTCTGAGTGCAATTATGACATTTCATACAAACTCCCCCTTGTGAATCCATGATGAGATATAGTTACATAGGCATATCTGACCCTTATGATTTTCCTTTCTACTTCATTTATATAATAGGAACAATTTATAGTACAAAAGAACTACTAG